ATCCGAACCCTCGGCGGGAGCGCCGCCACACTTCCCAAGCGGCGCACTGTAGCAGTGCGCCACCGGGCCGGCCCCCGAGATAGTATAGTTTTTGTACCCATTAGTCCACCCCTTCTCCTCTTGACCCCCTCCCCCAATAAAGAACTATTATTAATCACCTCGTCAGTATCTGTTACATATAAGTATACAATATATTTGTTTAGTAAATTTAAAAAAAGACCCATGGGGTGTGAATGGTGTCCAACACCTCTGCTAGTTATACCTAAATACTTTTATGCAACTAAACATATGAAGGAGCTTCAAAAAGTTTATGGAAAGATTCATATTATATTTCAATTCTATTTTTCCATGAGCTTTTTGAAGTACCCATGTACATTCGTAGAGAGCTCCTTAGGCAAAAACTTTGATAAACACAAAGGGAGACACAAGATAAATGTAGCCCTCATATCAAAGAACTTACACATGAATAAAGAAGATGAGAAATCTGTACATATAACTATGATCAGGGAGAAAAACTGGGTTCTATAATAACCATAAATAAAGCAAAATGAAAGGCCATAGAGTGACCTGATATTCACTCAGGCTTAGGGCACTGGTTTTGAAATTTGAATGTGCATAAGAATCACGTGGAAGGCTTATTAAAGCCTTCAGATACAGATTGTCAGGCCCACCCAGACTTTTTAGCAAGTTTGAGGAAGATACTGATGCTGCTGGTGTGGGGGTCACACTTTGAGAACTACTGAACTAGAAGACTGGTTTTCAAATCTGGCCGCACATCAGAATATCCTGGGAACCCTCTAAAAAAATCTAGTGCCCAGGCTTCACCCCAACCCAAAATTTTTTTAAAAGATATTTTACAAAAAATACTATATCGGAGGTGGACACTGAATCATAATCAGGATCATTTTATGAACAGCTGGAGACAGACAAAGCAGATGCTCATGAAGGGTGAGAAGCCACAGAGGAGAGCAAGTGCAGCACATGTTACAAATAAGAAGAATGTGGCTGGCCACTTAGCTCAGCTGATTAGAGTGTGCTGCTGATAACACCAAGGACCAGCCACGTGCACTGGCCAGCTGCCACCAAAAATAAAAAGAGAGTGAGAGAGAGAGAGAAGAACATGGCATGGCTGGTGCACTGGCAAAGAAAACAATTCTTGGATCAAGTCAGGAAAGATCCTGACTGCTGTGGTAAGGAGCTGGTAACTCCTTTTGGTGGTAATTCCAAAGTCCTTTGAGCAGGAGAGTGACATGGTGAGACATATGGTTTAAAATTATTATCTGGAAGCAAAGTCCAGAGTAGATTAGAATAACACTGGTGCTTCAAGACAAAATTAGTTAGAATGCTAACTAATATTAGCATCCTAAAACCCAGCGATGGCTTAGACATATGTTCTCAAACCGGCGTCTAGGGACGTATTCTCGGGGCCTATGTGTGCTCTACAGATGATTTTATTTTGTATCTCTGTTTCGAAGATCACCTAAGGCATAACTTCTCTTTTGTGACAATTGTTGTCACCTGAAAGATTTTTCCTGTATTGGACATAAGCTTCTCAAGTCAGTGTTTCTTAGTGTTTCTTGTGTTTAAAATGCAAGATTAACTTTTCCCCCCTATGAAAGGAGTCAGTACATTATATTACCTATGAGAAATCGTGATCTAAACAGGGTAATAAAATTGGGGCAATGTAAGAGACATTTCATTCAAAATCATCAGGATCTCCAAGTACATTTCAGTAGGAAAAGAGAAAGAGTAAACAAAAAAGATCTTGGAGACTTCGAGGCTGAGAGCTTCAGAAGATGATAAAAGGATGAAGCAGAGACCTAGGAGGAGGGACAGGGTTGTGTGCGGTGGGGGTAGGAGGCAACGCCTCCAGTAGCAGACAAAAGCCACCCACTGGCCACAACCACCAGAAGCAGCATCTCTCCTTGTAGGGCGTTTTAGGAATTAATGTATTTTCACTGTTTGGCCTTATTGTGGAAGAAAAAAATAATGTCATAATAGTTGACTCAGGCTAGAATAAAAATACCTTTTATTTTAAACATAAGAGCCTTAATTTGTCAGGTAATTTTAAAAACTGTTCTATCGGGCTGGCCCGGTGGCGCACTGTATAGTGCGCCGCTTGGGAAGCGC